TCTCGTGATGAGGTAATGGCGGCCTGAGCCTGAATGTAGGAAAAGTGGATCTGTTGGAAGTTCGATTTCACAAGACAGTCCAGGCTCACGTAACCGCTATATCTTCCTCGTGTATAGCTAATCTTCCTGAAGAAACCTTCAATTCCACGGAGTGATATTTCTTCCGTTCGATTTTTTCGTGAAGTCTTAACGCCGTGCTGGCAGTCGCTATGGTGTTTGTTTGACGTTCCAAGAAATTCACTTAGTGCCTGCCCTGTAAAGCAGTCATCACAAAATCGCATGGGGTGCCCAGCTCACCTGAACTTCCACTTCTTAGCGTAAAGCGCAGCGTCCCTGGTTTTCGTATGTTGACGATAAACTCGCTCGAAAACTAGATCTACCTCTGCACTTAGGCGTACCGAGAAATTCCGAGCATCGCCTTTCCCACAGTACGTTGAATGACATTAGCTGCATTCTCATCTGCTTTCTCTGACCAAGGGAGGGTTTCAGCTCTCCATGGAACTTTTGATAGAGACCTATGTATACTGATGGACTTTTTAATGCTGTTTACAAATTTAGAAATTAAAAGTGCTGAATGAGCCTACCAAAAAAGATATGAGCCCTCGAAGTTTGCTTGTTCAGTGCATGGAGAGGTAGTGCCAATTGAAGTTTGAACTCGCCCCAAGTGTTCCAGGGGCCGCCGTGGTGCAGTGACAGTTCTTTCCACCTTCAGGCGAGCAAGGTGGGTTTGCTGACCAAGGCCACACCTGTGTTAGTAATATGTGCTTTCTTTCAAATGAATGCTCTTATACCGTTTTTGGTAACTAATTCAAGCTAGCGCCTTGTCTCGGCTATCTTTTGCTATCATCGCACACTGAATCTGCAAGGAACTCTTTATATCATAAACTAAGTTTTGGTTGATAAAGTTTTTGGCGTTAATCAATCCCGTCTGAGGGATGCGCCCCCGCACTCGACTTCCACTCAGAATCGTAGTGGCGTAATGAGTGCGTATGTTGCCTGTACAAAGACTTGCGGTGGCCAGCCAAGTGCTTTTATCCTCCCAGACGAGTCTGGTACCAATTAACCGACCCGGACGGATGGAAGGCTTGGTTGGCCTAGGCGGACATCGATCCGGGATTTGAACCCCTGACCGTGCGTGTGATATCGCCACTTGCCACTACACCACCTCCGCCCTATTCAAAGAGACCGCGTTTAAAATGCGTCATATCAGCACGAAGTCTGGAAGAAGGGGCGTGGGCTAGAGCGCGGTCCTGAGCTAGGAGCTTGACGCCTCATATGTGATAACAACTGCTCCGTATTGAATACGAGCCAGTCCTATTTATTTGATACTTGTGAGCCGACGAAACTCAATTTGAAAAAGATTTTGTCGTATGTCAATGTATAAAATATCAACTCATGTTGTAGAATGGCTTTGTGGTTACTGTGTATGTACGGCAAACTGGTCCTTGTCATGAAGCGAGAGCGATGAGACAATTATCATCTTTTTGCTCTTTCGACAGTATAAACGGAAGGTTCATAATAATTAACGTATTAAAGCTTGCTGGTCTAATTGCTTAGACGTTTCGGTTAAGACCTGTGAGATGTGAAATGGGTGGAATCATAACAATAATAATAAAAGAATGAGTATAGTGAGGCAGAGGATTTGTCCTATAAGGCACTTGCTAGGGCTACTGAATTGGGACATATGCAGCCCTTTGCTTGGTTTGCATTGGTTACCAAAAACGGATAAGAACATTTATTTAGAAGAAAGCACATCTTGCAAAAACTGGCGTGGCATCGTTAAGCAAACCTCGCTCGCCTAAGGGTGAGAGCACTGTTACTGCTCTACGGCGACCTTTGGGAATTGCGGGCAGCTGCGAATTTCAATTGGCACTACCTCTCCATACATTGAGCCAGCGGACTTTGAGGGATCATACCTTTCTTAGGTGAACTCATTTAGCACTTTTAATTTATAAACTCGTAAATACCATCAGAAACTTCGTCGATATATCTGGGTCTTTATCAAAAGTTCCGTAATATTCGAAACCCTTTCTTGGTGAGGCATACGTCGAAGAAGGACATGTCCTTTGCCTTTCCACTACTCTCTCGAAAATTTCAAATGCTCCCCATGTCGCGTGTTTACTTCTGCTCAGCTCTTGAGTGGGTAATTCATCTTGTTGACTGCTCGATTTAAAAGCACGTAACTAGAGCATTTGAAGACGGCTAATGAAGTCCTGGGCAATTAGGCTGTTCAACTTTTTGACCAGAATCCGACCAGAATCTCAAAAGGAGTTGCCATCAACACAGACAGAGGCGTCCTTCGGGGCCGTACCACCTCGTCCAAACTTTTCATTGCCGCTGAGGATAATGTCATGTTTTCTTTGAAAAGCCGAGAAAGCTCCGAAGTGAAAGTCGACGAAGGGCAGCTGCGTCACCTGTACTTTGCAAACGGTGTAGGGTTTATATAGCATCGAGCAAACAGAGCTAAAGCTGAGCCTACTCGACGGAGATCAGTTTGTAACTTAATCTGACACTAACGGTTTCCTTTTGATCCCCCTCGCCCAACAGACCGAACTCTTTTGAATTTCTGGAATACATCTGCATCTAGGTCGCGGAATGACCATGGGAAGCGAGCTGGTCATTGAGGCGAGGGAAAGTGAGCGAGTCTATAAAGGTGTTCAAAGGCGCAGTTCACGATAATTTTGGGTAATCCAGATTATGACGAGAAATGGTAGATAAGGTAGAAAACAATGCGATCAAGGCGAAGGATCCGCGTGGATCGGTGTTTCCAAAGTGAAGAAGGCTTCAAAAAATCGTTAAAAAGGGGGCGGGACTAGAATGAGACCAGAAAAATAAAGAAGAATGGGGCGTTCGGAACAGCTGTACACTGTGTGTCAGTGCGCACGTGTGGGTCCTAGTGCGAATAGCTGACTGCGGTGAGCGAAAATTCATTCAGTCATAAGCGTAAGCTATCAAATAACCCTAGTGACAGCGAAAAAAGCCCACCTTTCTCAGTCTCTTGGAGTAGAAAATCAAATTAGGGATCGCAACAGTAAAAAGAATATAAAGAATAAGTGAATAGGAGAAAATCATCGCCGTACTTCTCGGCGATCATCTGGTTGTGCGTGGGTCCTAGAGCGAACATTGCAGTCTGTATCGCCTCGACACATGTCTTACGGGACATCGGTCGAGGGGCGGGAACTGCTGGCGACCCGAAAACGGGGCTCCCACCATGCCGTAACTGTTGAATTGCGTAAAAAGGGTAACAGAAAGGAACCGGAACGCGAAAGGGTCCTTTCTGTTACCCTTGGGGCTACTGGGTATTTCTAAAGAGAGAACTCAGAAAACATTTTCGTCGGGAACTGTGCCTTTAAAAATAATATTGTGAATGCCAAGGATCACTCATCGAGTCAAAACCTGTAAACTTGGACAAAGTCTCCTGTCGGCGA